CGTGCGGAGTTGGCTTTAAAAATGCCTGTTTGGAAGTTTTCACTTTAGGCTCTCCAAGGTGGGAGATTAAAGGAAGCTGTTTATTGGAGTCGGAAATGAATTCCGATGGTGGAAAACTATTCCGTGCGTAGAACACGTCCCTCTCATACCACGGCGGAAACTCGGTTTTTCGGAACATCGGAGACCCTTCAATACCAAATAACGTATCGATCAAAGCCCTTGTTCTTCCCCTTCTTTATTTTTCTCTCTCTCTCTCTCGCTTTAATGTGCGTTGCGTGAGAGACGACAGTTTGCGACCCTAACGGCACGTCAAAGTTTCAACGTAGTAAGAAGAAGAAAAAAAGCAGCGAAGAAAAACGCCATCGGGTATTTGCAGTTGGCAGTAATTAAACTTTTAATACAGCTGCCAACTTCTGACTTATCTGTTGTCCCATTTATATTTCATTGAGCGAAATTCATGAACAATTCAAAATCCGAACTGTTACCAAACTTAGCTTGAACTTTCTTAAATCGTATATTTCTTTCTTTGAACGTGGGATTACACCAGGTGGTTATAATTAAGAAAACAACAAAGCTCCGAAAATTTTCTCTAAACTATTGCAAATAATAATAATTCCTTATTTTGCTTTCGGTGCACGTGTCTATGATTCACAGAGCTATCAGCAAGCAAGAATTTTTTCTAACTAATCATGACCGCATGACGATTCGCATTTCTTCAAGATGACACATACCACCTCGGTATCAGCTAAAAGATATCTTTTATTTTTTTAACTTTCAACGCGTTATCTCATAAAGCAAGTTAAATATTTACCTGCGAACAGTACGTATTTGTTGTATACTTTTTTTTACATACTTTTAACCTACCTCCAAGGTCATCGCGAGGTGTTAAACGGTTAAACGGTTGCCCCAGGAGGAGGATGTTTTGTAATCGCTCTCTCCTGTTACGGTCATACAAAGTATAAATTCCAAGTAAATTAGAAGCGAACAATAATAACAACAACAACCGATGGATATGACCCATTTGCCTATAAGGCTACTGCAGTTCGCGGATTACGTAAGCACGTATCGAACTAATTTTAGGATTGTGTGTATATATATGTATGTGTATGATCATGCATGCATGTGCGTTTCGCAGATTGCGGAATCGGGTTTCGTGCAGCCGCTAAAAGAAAAGTCGCGCGTTGTTGCATAATGGCTCGGATCGGATCAGGGAGCTAATTTTAGCGTGTTTCACATCGAACGATAATATTTGTTTTCATTCGTCCTGGAAAACTCGCCGCTTTTATATTGGAGGAAAATTTTGTACCTCCTAACATGGTGTATGTCGTTTCCCATTTGCGAGGCGCAATTGCGCACCGGATCTCTAAATTTAAACGTTACTTTCTTTATCTAACGTCAATATTTATTGTTATTCGTCCTGGGAAAGTTCCGGCGATATGTTGACTCTCACATATATTTTTTAAATCGGTATATTTTTTTTTTCGAAATATCGATTGTCTATTTACACAACTAAAATAGTTATACTTTACTCATACATAAACCGATTCTTATTAAATAAATTCGGTGTCAATCAAATTCCCGACAACCGAAATCTCTACAGTTTCCGTATTTTAATATAGTCGGGATTTTGATATAGTCGGGATTATGGTTGTCGAGATTTTGATACAGTCGGGATTATGGTTGTAAAGATTTTGATATAGTCGGGATTTCGAACGTCGGGCTTGCGATATAGACCCAAATAAATTATATATTAAATTGATTTTTCTTCAATATTTAATGACACACACAGAAAAATCAATTGATCAATAATATTCATATATTATTGTTACTTTTATGTTTGTAGTTCTACAACTTTTAATCAATTCATTTATTATTAGTTTGTACTAAATTTAAGTATAATTGAAAAATGATTTCTTTAAACAAAACATAAGAGTGTAAGAGTAAACGAATTCAAATCAGAGCATATCACTTTTACCTAGAAACAATTCTAAGCGGAATGCTTAGGTATGCATATAAAAAGAAGATTAACCTAGAAAGATCACGTATAAGCAAAAAGAAAACAAATAGAAATACAAACTGCTAAGAAATTCAATATTATCAGTGGAAAATAATATATGTATAGAAAATAAACTGGAAATATGGAGAAAATGTTACAAAATGAAAATATTAAAAAAAAAATCTTTATTAGTTATATAAATTTATATAAATTGAAATTGAATTATTATTTTAATTAATTATTAATCAATTAATTTGGATTCTATTATACCCGTACACAGTAGGAAAGTTTGTCCAATGCTAATATTGATAGAAAAGATTTAATAAAGTGTGTAAAACGGATTATAGTTAGCTGAAAGCTTCATAAATCTAAAATCAACATTTGTATTATATTAATTTTGGAACATTAAGTTTATTATTTTCAATATTTTACGAATTTTAATTATAGTATTTTGGAGATGCTCGTATATATGTTTATTTGTAGTGATCATGGCTTGTTACAATACAGATTGATACATAGGATATATATGTCACAAAGGTTTCTTACAGTATAATGAGTCCGAGACTCGAGGGCCAACACAGAATACACACGAGATAATACAGAAAAACTTATATGTTATTAAGACACAAGAGTAGCGGAAGCGAAGACGGAAGTGAGTAAAGAGAGCGCGGGTACAGATATGTAGCCGCTTGCTTATATACCCTAACCAGGTAGAGCCCTTATCGGACCTTCCTGGAATACCAGCTGCGGGCTGGAGTGGGGCGCACCGTACCGGGCTTGTACAGTATTATATAATCATTTCTTATTTCTTTTTTAAAATAAGCGGGTGCATATTGTGAGAGTTGTTATGTAAAAATATTGAAAAGGAGAGATGTTTTAGTGAGGATTTCATTTAATTGTATTCGTCCTGGAAAGGGTCTGACGATGTTTATATTGGAAACTTGCACCGTCTAACTGGGTATTATCCGTTTCGCATTACGTTTTCCTAATGCGCCCTTTAGCCGCTGCCGGGGCGTTTCGAATTTCTATTTTGATCCGTGTCAAAGGTTGGGGCTCTTTGATGTGTGCGGAATGCAGTGCATCCTGGGAGGTCCGCAGGGTTGTTCTTCACAGTTTGTCGACACGCAATGCGGGAGAGATACAGGTATATTTTTAAAATGGTGGCTGCGATGAAGAGGGAGGGAGCGAGGAGTGAAGTCTTGAAGATGAGAAGAGAAGAGCTATGATCGTGTTGGAATATGAATCTCGTAATTGGCATTTAGCTCGGACAAACGCACGTGCTCGAGGACCATATGTCCGGGAAGTAGTCTCCTTCTCTCCTTGTAAATTGTTTAAAATTCCCGCAGGCCCTGGCCCCAAAAATAGAATTTCGTTGGCGGGAAACAAAAAGCCTGCATCCGCAATACACGCACTTTATACGCACCGCACACCATCAGGGCTTCGCATCAATTCTGTATCCTCTCTTGGTGTAGTTAGTATAAAGCTACGTCCACCGGATGCACGGTTAATCCGACATGATTCGTCCCATTGGATGTGTAGACCTGCTACACACTAGGAATATTCAGTTTGAGCAGAAAAATAATTAATTATAATATCTATGAAAGTGGCGTAACGAAATAATGGCATGGAAAAAAAATTGTTACGTAAACGAAATCTGACCCAAACCGGAGGATATCATTTTTTTAGCAAGCCACAGAATACACATTTTATACTTCAATAGAAAACCATTGTTGTTATAATAATGCCTACGAACACAGGTAATTAATCGGACAATGGAGAGCGGTTGTTAATCAACCCCTTTCAGTCCTGTCCCATATTGCGTCCATGATGAGCGAGCAACAAAAAAAAACATCTGACAGGGGTTGAAAATGTATTTACGAACTGGTTTTGTGACTTAATCTTAATTTTGGGAAGCTTAATGCTTTCCAATCATTAGCTTTCTTTACCTGCTACCGAATAACGCTATTCGTTGTTGTATTTTTGTGTGTTGCGCAACCACCCGCAGCATCTCGTATTATCAGAATTATCGACGATAAAGTGACAAATTAAGTGTATTGTAGCGGAATACAAGTTATTTATAAAATTGAGGGCAACTATACATCGATCACAGCTCTTTTTTTTTTCTTTCAGCACAACCTGAAACTTTATTGAAACCACATCAGGGCAGAAAGACCTATGGTCAATAGCCCTTTGTATCAGTTCACTTTTTTGAAATTATATATATATTTATTTTGTTGATACATATTTTTTACACAAAAGAAACAAATATTTTTCGCCCAAAACAAATATTTAAAAAAAAATCCAATTATTTTAAATTGGATTACGAAAAAATACAATGTGACATGTAACATATTTTTTTATATCAAATTTTGTAGTTTTGTTATCATCATTATCAATATTTGAGCATTTTTTTCATTGCATGAGATTGTTCTGTTATTAATAAGTGATGTAACATTATACGATTTCTTTTAATTTGGACAATATTTCACATATGATTATTGAAATGCAAATGATATTGCATTTTCAATTATTATTGCTTAGACAATTATGAATTTGTAGATCTAAGATTTTCTGGGAAGGAAATTGTTTAAATTATTAAAAGTTGTTTATATTTGTTGTTAAAATATCGTCACAGGCGCAGTGTGAGTTCTAAGGAAAAAGGAGTACGGGCCTGTAAACTAGGTGTGCGACTGAGGTCCTGCAGACTCTGTGTATCCTAACAACGAGAGTTCTGCGTTATTGATTATCCTTCCTTCGCGCCGCCATTTGTACCTTCATCCTGTTAGTTGTAGCTCTGGAGCTGCTCGCAGAGAGCAGAGATCCGCGAACCTCGACGACTTCAGTGCTCTCATGGATCCGATGAGAATCAATTAGCGTCGAGTATTAGTTTGCATGAGATATATAGTTTGTTTGGGTTTCGGGTAGTGAGTGGGCCGGCGTTGCGCTGGATTTGATCTGATACTGGGGCGTGCCTCTAATTAGGGTTATATCCTTGTGGTTACAGAGTAGTTCGGATAAATCGTATTACGGTGGCGAGATCGACATCGACGATGATCTGGAAGGAAGCGGGGGCGGGAGAGAATTATCGCAAGACCTAGAATCTAGCGGTTCTGGCTTCGGACCCGATGATGAGGATTCCACGTTAGGTAAGTTCCGGCATCCAGATTAACCTAGATTCAATTTACCTAATACTTCCTACGTTTTATTCAGAACCTAACAGCGAGAAACCCATACTCCCGAAGGTCGTGCTTCCAGACCGTAGTAAACCAGCGAACGAAGATACGGTGAAATTCACTGGAACCGGATCCGATACAAGCGTCATCATGAATCCAAAATCCGAGGACAGGCCCACGTTCTTCGCACAACCAGGAATCTTGGCCGGTAAGGCTAACACAATGAAACTTCTGCAAAGAAAGCTTTTATAATCATTTGTTTATACTTATTTTTTAGCTGTCATTGGAGGTGCTGTTGTTGGTTTGCTCTGTGCCATCCTCGTGGTGATGTTCATCGTCTATAGGATGCGTAAGAAAGACGAAGGCTCGTACGCCTTGGAAGAGCCAAAGAGGTCGCCAACATCACACCCTTACAACAGGGGCAACGGCAAGGAGTTCTTCGCCTGAGAGTAGTGCGGCGAGAACCCATTTGGACAATACAACAGTGGTCTGGCGAAGCGATACACAAAATTATAATTAAGTAACAAAAAAAAAATCATATAAAAAAAAACAAAACTACACACACACACAAAATATTTACTAATAATATTTCTTTCGGGGTAAAACGACAACCGCAACAAGAACAACAACTACAACACATACAACAAACAAAATACAAACAAAAAGTAATAAGCTATGACTGAATCTACTACTGCTTTTTATTTTATTTCATAATTCTAGTACGGCTTTAGTAAATAACAAAAAAAAAAACAAAGAAAGAAAATCTTACGAACTTTCTATCATGCAAAAAGCAAACAACAACGCACATCGTGTAACAACATATTTCTTTTATTTGAAACGACTTAACAAAGAAAGTTTAATCGAGGAATGATTATTTTGATTTAACATTATTTTTTACTATCGTCTCTTATTTTAATTTAGTTAAATTTTTTTAACGTATATTTTTGGATATTTTATTTCACGGGACTACTGCTAATTGTTATTTTTTTTTTGTTGATTCGGTTCATTATAGTTTTAGGGGTAAACTAAATTTCCGGTTCGAGATCATTGATTCGGTCTAATTGCCAAAAACTGCCAACCAAAATCAACCATGCAAAGTGTGAATGAACACTTTCGTTTTCAATAAATTCTCTCTTTTGTTCGAATTAACTTTTCTGAAAATCCAATGATCGCAGCGATTGGTTTCTATTGTTAACTGTATGTATATAGGATAAATAAGGGATAAAACAGAATAAAAATTAAACTGAGTGTTTTCGTCCATTATACCTTGTTTCGTTCTCTCGAGTTTGTGTTCTTAATTTGGATTTGATATTATATTCTTTGAGTGTATAGTACTTTCAATATCGAGTTTCTTTTTCTCTGGAAATCTCCAGTACTATACGCTCAAACCTCTAAATTGAAGATGAAGATGATGAAGAAAAAAATAAGAATAAATTTAATAAACGTACCTATAGATATAGTAATGAAGAAAAGTAACTAAAAACAAATATGAAGAAGGAAATAACCGATATATAGTTGATAGGTGAAAATTGATTAGGCTTTTTGGTAAGGAAAGAAAGGCCAAAACGATAATGATTCGAGATGTGACTTCAATCCGTCGGCCATATATTAATAATATTCTTGTATTTAGGATTGTAATTTTACTCTTTAATTTAATTTCATTATTTTTTGTTTTTATTTGTTTGTTCTGTATTAAGATCTTGGTGGAAAGAAACAAAACGATTGTATTTTGCTACGAATACTTTTCACTTTTATTTGTAAGCGCGAATTAGAAGGGATTTTGAATATGCGCTCACATTCAAAGACTGTTCTTCGACGAGAAAAAAAAAACGAGGACATTATGAAGAAGTCATCTTCATAAGAGAATAATAATAAATTTAAACGAGTTCTTTGGCTTTGGCTTTTTGTAAAGGAAGAAAATATTAATAAATGAAACCAAACATAAATTATATATTGTATTCATAGAATAAGTATATAGGGTCGATTATGTGTAACATTCCGATGGATTTTTAAGGCATCTCTGATGTTGTGTTTTCCATTAACAATTTTATTTTATTTTTTTTGTCTTGTTTGTCCAATAAGTTTTATTTTTATTTTTTATATTTTTTTTTGTTCGAAACTTTATTTTGTGTGTAATTCTAGTGTTTAAAAAGTAAAGAAAGCAACAACAACAACAACAAACAAAAATCACGAAGAAAGAAAGAAGAAAAACGATTTGAAAACAAAAAAATAATATATAATAGGTGTGAGCCCCTATCAATGCCCTGAGTATGTTAATAATTTATTTTCCAAGACAACTATTTATGTAACATGTTTTATTTTTACTATTTCTATCACTTTTTTCTCTATCTCTCACTCTCTGATTACTTTCTTCCAATTCTGTCCTTCCCTTTTATTATTTTATTTTGTCGTTCGGATATTCTTGTTTCCTTTCTATCGTATTATTTTTTTTAATTTTATTTTATACTTGTTGACAGCCTATATAAATATATATATTTTTTAATTTATTTGTTAATTTATCGTTCTTAGATATCTTTCGAATGAGTAATAATATTAATAATAAGAAAAGAAGAAGAGTAAGGCCGGAGAAGAAAATGGAGAAATAATTATGGAAACTGTTTGTATCATCAATTATTAACAATTATAATACTTATCCTTAACAATTTTTTTTTCTTTTCTTTATTAGTTTTTTTATTATTAATACATGGTATGTTTTTTTCTAATTGAATATGTAGAGCATTTTTGAAATATATATTGTATAGTATTAAAAACAAACAAAAATAATTGAAGAAAAAAAAAATACAACTAGATGTACAATCCGGATGTAAATAAATGACCTGGACAAACTATGCAGTCCTCCATTTCTATGTTTTGTGAATCTCTGCTCAACAATTTCTTTTTTCTTTAGAACTGGTCTCCTTTCATTAAATTGTGAAGCAACAGGTGTTTTATTTATTCCGATGTTCGTCTATATTCCGACATCAAGGCAACCACTTATCAATCATTAATTCAATGCATTTTATACTCGGAATTTTAAATTACTAACTCCGACAATACTAAATTATTACATGGCTCTTGATGAGAAACTCTTTATAGGCGTGGTATATAATCTTGCCTCTTGTAAACTGGAAGTACTTTAAACTAGTTTTCGTAGCAAAGTGTTCACAAAACAAGGTCATATGACAATATGGTAAGTGAGTTTAAAAGTCATTTAGACATAATCACAATTTCATTATTCAAGTTTTGTCATAATTATAGTATAATTAGTAATATTTAATTAATTGAAGTAGTTAAATTATTGTCTGTCAATTTTTTTTAGTAAAAATTTAAAACTTAACAATTAATAAAAAATAAAATAAAACCTTGATATTAAACCAATAATATTAATAATTATTTTATTTATTACATTGATTACTCATGTTTTTCTTTTCTTACTTCAAAGTCCTGTTATTCTTATACACCTTTGATAATTGGTTACACAATCAAGGTTTTAATCGTTAAACAAATTGGTCAGACAGCAAATATACAACAAAAAAAATACATTCTATAGTTAAATTTAAATGATAATAATAACTTTCAAAATAAGTAAATAAATTAACAAAAAAATAATTAATTATTTAATCAAGAAAATCTTGCATCATTTTATTTGATACGAATTAATTCTTGTCTTACATTAAAAAAAAATACCCAAACTCAATTTCATGTCACATTCTTAAGTCTATTATATTTAATGAAAACTTTGTCAAAAAACAATTATTCTGAAAATTTTCTAAAAATTTCAATTAATTCTATAGACTGATAATACGTAAAATATACGACAAAATAAAACTTCAAACACATGTATGAATGTTACTGAAATTCATTCTGTAATAAGATTGCACATAGAAAAACACTAAACAACTGATTACTGAATTGAATGGAAATCATAAAATATCGCAATGCAGTTGATAACATATTTATTTTATATTTTTTTTCGTCTTGTCGTTAAAATGTTGATAAAAACCTATTTTCATTTGATAACGGTATGGTACTCGAAGTAGAACAATCTATTCGATAATTTCATCTTATATACAATGATTATATGATATTTATTAGATACATTTATTATTCGTGTTACATTTTTGTATTAGAGTAACAATTATGACTATTTATAAAATAATCTAATAATTGATAATTTCAATATTATTTGAGAAACATGAGATAGGAAAAATACAATGAATTTGATAATAATTATGTTTTTAGGAAACCAAATATTTTAATTGTAATTAGCAAACATTAATTATTGCTTGAAGTAAATTTATTATACTAACGAATGAAAGCATCTTTACTTCCATATGCACTTGTCATATTAATTAATCTGTAATTGTAAAATAAAAGTCTAATTAAAGTACAAATATTCAACGAAATTTTAGATTATCCAAATTTTTTAGCATATTTTTTAAAATTTTTTACTGAAATTTGAACATTACTTTCATGTCAATCGGTTTGCAAAATAGAAGGTGAGTTGTTGAATTCATTGTCCTCGGTTACTTTCTATAGACAAAGCCTACAAATTTAGAAAATCGTATAGTAATAGTTTATTTTTGTGCATAAGCCCAGAGGCGTATCAACATCTTTCTATATGCATTTGTATTATTTACTTCATTAATATTATAATTAACGATTGTAATTTGAATTTTTAGTTTTTTTAAATAAAAAAAATATAATCAATAGTTTTTCTAAAAATCATTGACTAATTGATTTTTTTTTTCTTAAAATTTGGAGATAACGAAACAAAATACAAGCATCTTATTTTATCTAGGTAGTACATCTTTATAGCTCATGTACATCTTGAAGAAGATACAGTTTATTGAAAATGAATGTTATTTGTAAAACTACTACGTTTTAGTAGTATTATGAGTATATCTATAATCTAATATTTTTAAACTTTATTGAATATGATTTACAAAAATGCATTTTTTTGTAATACAGAGGCGGATCAATATTGTTTTTTTAATGGTTTGTCTGAGATATATTATGGAACGTAGACTTTGGAATGAGAAACCGATAAGTGATCTGATATATACGATTTTTTCCCTTACGTTTCGACACAAGTGCGTTTTCCTGTGTGCTATTTATATAATATCGAAACGGAAACGGATTGTTATCTGGTTGCCTATCCCATCTACGATTTTATGGTCTCCGATGAGACGTGATTTCGTGTGTATATCGATTGAGATACTATCTTTGGATGACAATTGTTTTCGGAGGCGTCCGATAAGGTTGATATGGAGTCCCAAGGTCGCGCTTTTGAAATTTCGCGCGCAATTGTAAGCATTGGCATGCTCGTCGGAGCATACCGTGAATCTCGTAGAAAAGTGGGGTCTGGTATTTATGTGCGAGTTCTGTATTATTGTTGTTTAGTCAGTATTTAATAGCTTGCCGTGCGGTTGGCAGCGAAAAAGAAGGATAAAGATCAAAGATCTCGCAATTGACCCTGGTACATACGTCCATCCATCCCCGGCCGAAATGAACAACGCCGCCCCTGTCAAAGTGAACCCAGATTTATTGCGGGAAAGACAAAAATGCACGTTCAACAATTTGGAGCTGACCCATTTACTTGACGGAGGAGCAGACAAGACTGCTGAACGCAGAGAAAGAGGTTCGAAGATCATCTCACATATATGCGTCACTTTTGTCAATCGTTTCTTCTTTTGTTTATTCAAAACGCACATCATCTTTCTACCAAACCTGTTATGCGTCCTCGAAAATATAGACAGATTTCAAACTATTTTTTCTTTCAAATTTAAATGTTCAAACCTGGAAAATTGTTAGCAATTTATAATCAATTAACTATTAATTAACGACGCATTGTTAAAACATAATTTAACAAAACAATTACCAATGAAACTATAATCACTTTAAAAAATTAAACTTTTGTACTATTGCGATAAGCCGTATCAATTGAATAGATTTACCGGCACGGGTTTATATTTGAAACATGTTGTTTTAAAACTAGATTAACATATCAGCATAATACTAATAATAAATACAAACAAAGTAGTTACAAAGACAGTTTGTATACGTAATATATTTAACATTTCAAAGTGCATCTTGGGTGAGTATCTATCTATCGGAGATTGTGCGTCAGCTGAGCGTACGCAGTGAAAGTTCCATCAGCTTTCTAATGATAGAACAGAGCCGTAACGAGCACTTTCCTACTTTACAGAGGAGTTCTTCTTGAATGACCCTGAATTCAAATCGAAGACGCCGGTGGAGTACCTGAGTCACAAAGAAAAGTACGAAGAGTCTGTACGCAGGGCGTGCTTGGTTCTTAAGAAGGTTCAACAGTTGCAGGATCAGGGAAAAGGTGGAATTGATAATTACAGGTAATTAATTGTTGGCCCTGTACTTTGAACCATCTCATGTTTACGTTTGAATTTTTGCCTCAGACAAGTTATTGGGGCCCAGTTGGGATCCGCGCTTTTGCAAGATGGCAACCCTATTGCGTTGCATTACATCATGTTCATACCTACCCTTATGGGTCAAGGCACCATCGATCAACAGGCCGAGTGGATCCAGAGAGCCTGGAATTTGGAAATTATCGGCACTTACGCTCAGGTGAGTGCACTTGAATCTCTATATCTGTTGATAAACTGACACCGATTTTGTGGATTTACATAGACCGAGCTAGGACATGGAACGTTTATCAGAGGTCTTGAAACAACGGCCACTTATGATGCGAAAACTCAAGAGTTTGTTTTGCATAGTCCTACTCTGACCTCCTACAAATGGTGGCCGGGTGGTTTGGGACACTCTTCAAATTACGCCGTTGTTATGGCGCAATTATACACTCAAGAGAAATGTCGTGGTATGCACGCTTTCATTGTCCAACTCAGGGACGAAGAGACTAATATGCCTTTACCTGGAATTAAAATCGGTGAAATCGGCTGCAAACTTGGCATGAACGCTACAAACAATGGTTTCCTAGGTTTCGAAAAAGTTCGCATTCCAAGAAATCATCTGTTGATGAAGAACAGCAAAGTTCTTGAAGACGGTACCTACGTCAAAGCACCTAGTAGCAAATTGGCTTACGGTACTATGATCTTCGTGCGTGTAGTCATTGTAGAAGACGCTGCTTTCTTCTTGAGAAAAGCTGTGACTATTGCTACTCGCTACAGCGCTGTCAGGCATCAATGCCAACTTAAGGCTGGGTAATCAATAATACCTATATTTAAAATATAATCATACTCATTTAATATTGTTTAGAGAACCGGAAACGCAAATTATGGATTACATTACTCAACAGTATAAGCTCTTCCCTAATATCGCAACTTTCTTCGCTTACTCATATGTCGCTAAGTGGTTATGGGAGTATTACAACAACGTTACCGGAGAATTGGAAGCTGGTATATTAGACCGTTTACCAGAAGTATAACTAATTTAATAATCAAATTAACTGCTATTCATAATAATTTTTTCGTCGTAGCTGCACGCTATTGCCTGCTGCTTGAAGGCCGTCGCTTCAGCTGATGCTGCAGCTGGAGTGGAAACCTGCCGTTTGGCTTGCGGTGGACACGGCTACATGACATCCTCCAGTTTACCAACTACTTACGGTTTGGTAACGGCCATGTGTACTTACGAAGGAGAAAACACCGTGCTTTTACTGCAAACTGCTAGATTCTTAATGAAGAGTTGTCAAAGCGTGATGGAAGGAAAATCTATGACACCAACAATCAAATATCTAGAAACTTATCAAACTGCCAATATTAAGCCTTTCGAAAAGAACATCGAATGGATTATTAGTGCATTGAAGAAGATGGCTGCTAGTAAGATCCAAACAACCTTTAACCACATGAGCAGTCGTGCGGAGAAAGGCATGGCTCCAGAAGATGCTTGGAACGAGACCAGTATTGAGCTCGTCGGTGCTGCCGAATCCCATTGCAGAGTGAACGTGGTGGAAATCTACTACAACATGATGTTGCAAATTAAGAATACTGTTTCCGAGGAGTTACGCGTCGTTTTATTCCAATTAGTCAATTTGTATGCGGTGCACATTGCCTTGAGGTACACAGGCGATTTACTCAGGGTAATAATAGATTCGTTTATTTGATTGTATTTATATATTACATAATTTGTTGTTGTTTTCAGTACACCAATACTTTGGGCAAAGACATCGAAGAGCTTCAATCCTGGCTTGAAGAATTGTTAGCCGCCATCCGCCCGAACGCTGTCGGTATTGTAGACAGTTTCGATATCAGGGATGAAATCCTCATGTCTACACTGGGTTCCTATGATGGCAATGTCTACGAAAGGCTCTTCGAGGAAGCTTCCAAGAGTCCATTGAACGCAGAACCAGTCAACAAGTCGTTCCGTCAATACCTACAACCTTTATTGAAATCGAACATGTAGAGTCATATAAAATAGAGGGAACGCATGGTATTATTTCGATTAGTTTAGATTACTTGTTATGTACAGTATCGTCGATATTTTATTATTTAATTTTTGTTAATTAAAATAGTAAAAATAAAAACAAAGAGTTTACTTGTAATTAATTAAACAGATGAATAGCCGCCATTTTGAAAGAATCGTCGTCCATCTGTTTTTTCAATTTCTGCAGCTCATAGCAGGCGACTAGATGAGAGTACCAAGACGCCAATAGGCTCGTTGGAAAGCTGAGACATTCAGCTTTCATACGAGTGGTCGAGATGTAATTATCTTAAGGGGTTGTCGAAAATTCACGAAAAACTGAAAAAAAAACAAAAAAACGTCTTTCTCTGTTACGTAACGAACATTACGTAACTTTTGTTACATAAAAAGTTGCGCAACGCTTGGTGCATTTGACTATG